TCAGTTGCGCAGGAAGCATGAACAAAGTTTCACTTTTTAAAATTTTGTTGTTATTTTTAGTCTATTTTGTATTTTGTATTTATGTGTTCGATTTACTTGATTAGATTTAGTTTATACTGTTTTGTGAATCGCTTTTTCGGTGAACTTAACGGTGAAGGTGTGGTTTTCTCGGTGATGATCAAATAATGATGACGAGTCCGATCTAATCCATTCTTACAATTCTGACGACAAATCGAGGCATTTGTCTGAGAGGATTCCACTCTTCCCTTCCATTAAGCTATTTAATTTATTTTTTTTGAATTCATCTAAATTTTTTTTGGTGATTAATTGGCATGATGATGATAGTTTTGAATATGTTCATATGATTATTCATATGATGAATCTAATCCTCCTACTCATTCTGAATGCCGGTTATGTTATTAGTTTTCAACTGTGTAGCGCTGATGGTACGGATGGTGTGTGAAGTGTTGAGTTTTTCAAGGTTTTTTTTCAAACGCAATCAAGCCTGTTGTTCTTCTTTTTCATCATTTTTTTCGAGTCTTTTGCCTGTTTTGGTTGGTGATTCCATTTATGTAGAATGTTTCAGAGTTACTTTTATTTCTCTGAAGAAGAAATAGGATAGGATGTTGAACGTTGAAACTTCTACAGGATTTTGCTATGGTAACTGCTCTTTGCATTATCCACATCAGTAGGAAGGAGATACTGATAATTTTTATTAATCTTTTTTTTAATTGTAACAAATTTAATAAACTATAAAATAACTATTCTTAATAAAATATTAAAATAAATAATTTGTATCACTTTTTTATTATATAAATATTTTTTAATTAAATATTAATTATTTCAATTAAGAAAGTTATTAAAAAATAGAATTAGAAAATGTTTTTATTATTATTTATATACCTATATTTAACTATATTTTTTTGTGTTGATATTTATTTTCTAATTTTCTTTTTTAATAAATATTTTTTAAAATTAAAATATTTGTTTAATTACTTTTATGTTTAAAGCAATTATTTTTTAAAATTTAATTTTTTTTCAATTTAAATGTTTTCTAGACTTAATTATTTATTTTAATCATAAAACTTTTTATAAAATAAATAAAATTTATTTCTATAACTGTGTATAAATGAACTTTTCTTTTTGGTTACAACAACTTTTTTATTTTATTTTTCACTTTAAATAAAATTATTATAGAGTTAAAATAATTATGTGTTTTGATAAATGAATAATGATTTGAATTTAGAAAGGTGGTTATTAAATAGTAATCATTTTAATATAGTAGCATAAATAAAAAATTAACTTTGAATAAAAATAAATGTTTTTGGGTTTAAATGAATTTATAGAAGAAAATGTTTTTGACATATTAAATTGATTAAAAGCAAGCCATAAGAAATGATGGTAAAAGTAATATATATATATATATATATATATATTGAAGGTTTATTTGACAATTTTTAAGTATTTGTTTAATAACAAAAAAATTTAGTTATTTAAAGTTTTTAATCTTGTTCTGGTTGGTGAATATCAATAGAAATTAGATTGAACACAAGTCAATGTGAAATTGGGTTCATATAAATTTTTATGGTCTTGTAATCATATTTAATTATGATCTAGGTTTGCTAAACCAACTAAATCAGCCCTGGTATCAATCATTGGTAATATAAGAAACCCAACACATATAATTCCCCAAAACCTAAGTGATGTTGTATATGTTTATTGATCACAAAAGTTAGGTGAGAGTCTATATTAAATAAAACTATTTAGCAATGGTTGCAAAATTAAGTTTGTGTCCTACTTAAATGTATGTTATATTGATATTATTTGTAAATAAAAATACCTTATGTAATTATAATGCATTCAAAAAAATAATTGATACAAACAATTTTAAACCAAACTATATTTTTCACAATATCACTGATAATAGAAGCACATTGGTCGAGGTGAATCAATGGAGTTAGTGAGAGGTGTAAGAGAAGAAAATGAAAGAAAAGTGAAGATGAAATGTTAATGCATTTTGTGCAATAGAAAAAAAATCATACAATAACATTTATATGACTAAAAACTATTGTGTATAGTTACAATTAAAAACCAATCATAGTTGAATATGATGATAATTTAAAACTATTATAATAATGTACATATAATAATTACAAAACAATCATCATATTTTTTAATGTTAATTACAAAAAGCTTTATATTTTAAAATAACCGTTTTACAATAGTGTATGTATAAGGATAAATGCTACTCAAATTTTGTGAAATATAAGAAATGTTAACCAAAATTTGTATTTAATAATTAATTATGAAAAGTAAATCCTTTTGTATGGGATAAGGTTACATGAGATTTATACATTGATGCAAAAATTGAATGTTCATTATATATGTACAAAACATATAGGAATCAAAGTTGGATTAATTGGGCACATATAACTTATGTGTAGATAGAACAATATTGAAACCCTAAACATACATACATGTATATGTGTTAATGCATATTATATAGAAAAGAGCTTAAAGTGTTGAAAAAATATATGTTCAAAGTATGAATCATCATATTACAAGGTGAAAGAAAATTGTCAAGACAAAAGTGCTAAGAATTTATTTACTAATCCAAATTATACTAAAAACTTTACATAACATGTATATGAGAGCCAATGTGATGAATTGTTTTATCATTTGACTAATTATTTGCAATGAAAGATGAGTTTCCATAATTTAGAAATGAATTGAAAAATCTAGGGTTTGAACTAATTACAAATGGAATGAATCTATTATAATTCATTTGACAACTATGAAGTTGAAACACAAACATACAACAACAATTGTACGGTGATAAAGAGAAAATATAATTATTTTCTTCCATATATTAATCGGTAAATGTTTTTTCAATAAATAAATTGTCAAACTTTTATAATTCTTACAATAATCATCTTCAACACAAGCATTTTGATTATTATTTATGTTCTTATATGATCATAGCATTAGATGATTTTACTTGATATCACATAAGAAATCCCTCTAATACTTTAAATAAATAGTAAATATGTAATAAAAAATTATTTTTTACACCTATTACATTAACATTATATAACTTTAACTAATACACATTTTTTTTATTTGTGTCTACTCCAGAAATAACATTTTAAAGCACATATTAAATTTATGATTGTAAAAGCTTACATAAACAAGCCTCAATGTGTTCAATTCCAATATATACATATTACTTTTACATTTTTGTATGTTAATTAATTGTATTAAACTCTTTCTTATTGAACTTAGTCTAATAAACAAACTAAAGGCATGAATGCAAATATCATTGAACACAGCATAGGAAGATTATTATGTAAACTAAAATTAAAAAAGATAAGAGCAGGCAATTCACTTTATTTGACCAATTCATTATTAAATTAATTATTTTTTGTCATAGATTAATATAAAATTATTAAATATTATGATTTTTTACGAAGATATAATTGTTAAATTTTAATGCACTTAATTACCTTAAAATCACTTTGAAAATATATTTAGTTAATACCTATAATATACTTTAGGACCCTTGATGTATTTAAAAGACTTTTTACATTTCATAGTTAATGAATGTAGTGTTAGAATTCAGGTCCGATCCTATTTTTTATTGATCTCCACCTAATCAATATCTTATTTATTTGATATTAATGTACAATTAATAAGTAAATTATAATATTTTCGTTAAGAAATTTAAATTAATTTTAATAACATTAATGGAGTATCAATAAATATGATATAGATAATGAGTAAGGAATATTCATATGAAAATAATAGTTTAGAGTCCCGATAAAAGAAAAAAAAGAAGAATATATACTTTAGTTTAGGATCTTTTATTTTTTAACTAGAACATTTTGATAGCCAGCGCAAGATAGGTCAAAATGGTCATGCTCATTTTTTTTAAAGTTAATTATTCTCTTAAAGAATGAGGACAATTATAGACAATATCATAAGAAGATGGAGATGAAGCAAATATGATTATTCAACAAATTATTGTCTAGATAGACAAGTTCTTATCGAGTATGTGAAGTTTTGAAGAAAGAGCTTATGGATTAGAGTTGCTAATGGAAAGATAATGCAAAAAAATGAAATATTGTTAATATTCATTTTAATATTGGTGCAAATAAAGGGAGCAATGTTTAAACTCATAAAATAGAAAATCTTAATCCCTTGATCAAAGTAAAAGAGTCAATCTTAATTATGCGATAATGACCTTAATTGTTTTATCAAAGTAGAAGAGGCGACCTTAATTGTCCAATGTTTTAGTCAAAGTTATACAAAGTTTTTCGATTATTATCTGAATTGCTTAGGTAAAAAGGAAGTAATTTATCAAGTATGCAAAGGTTTTTCTTTTGTCAAAATAAAAAGTAGGTTTATTAAGTAGGTGTTCAACTATTTAACAAAATTCCCTTGTATTAGTCTATTGATTCCCATTGGTAAAAAGTATAGTTAAGTCTAACTAAACAACATATTAAGAAAATATAGAAATAAGTTAACAAAGTCAAGACAAAAAGGTAATTATGATGTCAAATCCGATTTTGATTAATATACTTGAGATGAGAGATGATTCTTGAAATATATAGATCGTTGAAAGCTCGTCTTAAACTTCAAACCCTAAATATAACTTACCTTGAGGTATAAAATGTTGGGAAACAAAGAATATGAGTAGCCTTTGGATTGAAAAGTCTTAGACTAAGGGATTGTGTAATGTTAGGACTCAGGTTAATCCTATCTTCTAGTCGGTCTCCACTTGACCAGTAATATATCTTATATTAATATACATTTATGAGTGAATTCTTATATTGTCATTAAGGATGATAAAAAAAATTCATAATCTGAATAAATTTTTTTGACAAAATACCAAATTAATACTTGTAGATAATGGTACAAATATATTTAATTACCCATTGGTAATAGGGTAGGTACATGTACAATGATATTCTACACACTACTTGCTTATACTTATTTTTCTTAAATTTTTTTTAGAAAATAATTATTAGTGAGTTTTATTTTAGTATTTTTTTTATCATGAAGTGATCAAAATAAAGCTACTAGTGATAAAAAAATAATTATTGATTTTTTTTAAAAAATTTTGACTTCATATGTTTATATTTTTTTATTTAAATCTATAAAATTGATGTTATTTTCAAAAAGATTAATTTTTTAAAATTTATATTTTGGTAAAATTCATTCAAATTTGAATTGCATTAAAATTTTAGTAAATAATTTAATTTGAATTATAATTTAAAAATAATTTTTATTTAATTCTACATTTTAAAGATTAGGTTTTAAGTAACTTTATTTAAAATTGAAAAATATATATATAAAAAAAACTTGCAGATATTTTCTTATGGATACTCGATAGATAAAGGGACAA